TATATATATGTGTGAATGAAATAAATAAATATATATGTATATATACATACATGTATATATACATATATATTTATTTATTTCTCAATCTTTCTAGTAGAGAAAAGAGCCTGGATACTTGCAATCCTAAGGCAGAGGACAGTCAACAAAAACAACAGCAGCAAAACAAATATCAGCAAACGTGTTTATTAACTTACAGTTGGGAGGGTGACTGCCAAAATTGTCCAAATCACATTGAGAAAATGATGAACAGAGAAACATTTATCAATAATGTTAACACATGGATGCAAACTTAGAAAATTGACAAATTTTACACAGCAGAATATATACATATTCACATAGAAATCATTTACATGGATGTCTTATTTCAATTTAAATAAAAGAAAGAAAAAGGTGACATCACAATAACACATCAGAAGTGTATTGTCCTCTCTACTGGTTGTCCTATTAGTAAAGGCTTTAGGAGTAGAGCTAATGTAACTGTAACCTTAAGTACAGGATGGTCAGATGGAGATATTACAAATGGACTAATGTCTCAATCCAAAGCTACGGTTGCTGAATGTTTGTCCCTGGTGAAGAGGCCGTCGTTCTTCCCCCTCAGCTTGATGAACTGAGCCGTTTGCTCCTGGCTCCCTAAAACAAAACAAAATGTAGTTCGTTTTATTTCACACCACAAAACAAAAAGGTGCAAAATACTCAAATTCAGTTTATCCTTGTAATTAATCTCGTTTGTAACGTTACCGGACTTAAAGTGATATTTCAGGTTCACAACCTGAGCTGCTGTTGGTCCGTTTAAGGACATAATATGAAGTATAAACGATCTGTAAAATCGTCACAATCTCAGTAAGATATCATTCAACCTCTGAAAGAAAAGTTACTTTACAAGGCTTAACTACGGTCGGATACAGGCAGACGAGCTACCGCTAACGTTAGTTAGCTTGTCAGCTACAAATGTCACGTAACTTAACCAATGATTTTAACAAACGTGATGTTATAGCTCCCGGTAAGGGAGTAACGTTAGCCCACTGTGGGCTAACGTTACATGCACTTTGCCTGAGGCATGGCTATGTTAGCTAAGGTTAGCTGCGCATGTATGACACAATTTAAAATAAATCCTACGAGCTTAGTTTTCTCCGACCGAGAAAGCGGAGCTTCATGTCAACACAGCAGCCCTCCATGTCGTTCTTTAAAAAAAGAGACACTAACAACATGAAAGCAAAGTGAAGTGCTGCTACATTTAAAATCATTTTGACAAAACAGAGCAGTATAATGTCAATTTACCTCCATGTCACCGTAACCTCCCGTCCGTGTTTAATTGATGCAGATACCGAGAGCCAAGTCAAACCGACCAATAGAAACTCCCGGCACATTCAGCAGCGTATGCCCCGCCCATGAAGGTCTATTTGTGTCTTTATTACGCAAACAAAAAAACTCAACTCAGCTTTTCGTTTTGAAACCAAAGCTTTTTTTTTTAATCAAAGATATTTTTTTTTTTCACCAAAGATATTATTTTTTAACCAAAGATTTTATTTTTTAACCAAAGATTTTATTTTTTTAACCAGAAATTCTAGTTTCATAAGCAAAACTAACAAATAAATTATTCTCAGTTTATATATTTTCACTTACAAACTTGATTTTTGATTGCAGTGCGAGAAATTTGCTTTTAAAACATTTTTTTTTGTTTGCGTAATAAAGACACAAATATACCTTCATAGACAAGCAAGCAATTTTAAGTCCTCACCTTGGCCTCTGGGAAATTGTGGTTGACATGTTCCAGCAAAACTATTACCAAACTATTTATCAGTCAGTTTATGAAATACTTTATAACAAAATAAACCTTTTTAAAAACCTTTAGTTGCTGCCATAAAAAAGTGAAAGATACGACAAGTGAGTCAAACATACTTGAAAATGCGGCCAATAAAACATTGATGTACTTCAATTTCTGTTCACATATCTGCCAACAATATATTTGCCAAAACTTGGATAGGCCAATATCATCAGCTCACACTCACGCTGGAGTAAACTCACCCACTCATTTGCAGTACAGCTGATAAATATGATGCTTATTGACAGCCAATAGCACACGCACCACACACATACAGAAGCATGTGTGGGCAATTGGGAATGCTATTAATACACATTAAAAGCACGCACACACACAAGCCACACACTCATAAAAACAAGTGGTGTGATGCTAATAATATATTGAGAAACAGCAATTCAACTCAGTGTCCCAAAGCACATGTGCTTTTGCATGTTTACTGACAAAAACACAAGTGGCTACTGACAGGTGACACTAAAAATAAACCATCATGGTTACATGTAGTGAAACTTGCACAAAGAGCCACAGTGCTCCTTCAAAAAGAAACAAATGGGCGCTAATAATACATCGGTACCAACACACGCCAGCGCGGGTACAAGTGTACATGCACCCTCAACTGTCGCACGAGCAGATCCTACTTATGCAAACACAAAGACCTGCTGTGTACACTCAAAAGAAACAACTGCAAGCTATTAATATCTCGGCACGTATAGGACGGACACGCACAAGGACACACTCGTATGGATGCGCACACATACGGAGATTGATACTCCAGCTGCTCGGAAGCAGAGGGACAGAATGTCCCTAACAGCTGTGGATTCCACTAAATGTAAGGACGGGGGAGGAACGGAGACAACGATGGAGAGATGGAGAAGGTGGCCAGCTCGGTGGAGTAGCTGTCATTAAATTGATATTGTGTGTGTGTGTGTGTGTGTGTGTGTGCGTGTGACTGGGTTTGGTAATACATAACTCAGTGTCAGCCTGGTGAACATACATTTATTTACACTCAGTGTGCATGGTTACTAGAAACAGCATTAATAGTCATTTGTAGTTAATTTGTTTGTAGTTCGCGTGACATTTTGTCTCTGAACTCGTGCTCTTTCTGCTTTGCTGCAAATCTAACCAGCCATAAACCTCAAGTCTGCTTCCAGTGTTTATGTATACAAATAGTAGGTAGCACTTAACCTGATGTGTGACTTCCATACGTAACTCCATTCAACAGCACCGTGGAATTCACTCCAACAATAAACAAAGCACATTTTAGGGCCACAGTGTGTGTGTGTATAAATACTGCTAAAGGACATCTGCAACTCTCAAGCTGCAAAAGTGAACCAGTGAAGCCAGTCAACTAAAATAGCAACTTCTGCTCGTGTAAATGAACCAAGAGGATGTTATGGTGCAGACTAACTTTAGAAACAGGAAGTCGCTGTTTTTGTGTGAGTGTGTCTGTGTGTGTGTGTGTTTGCGCAGGTGTGTGTGCATGCGTGTGTGTGTCAGTGATTCAGTGTTTTGCTGCAGAAGGCACACAGAAAGAGGATGATGGTTGTGAAACGAAAATATGCTATTACAGAAACCAGAAGTTTCTTTCCTGCTTATTTTTAGCACCGCAACGCTCAAATGTGAGAGACAGAAGTACACACGCACACAGATCTTATCTCGATACAGTTCTCCTTATTTTTAAAAGCGTTCAAGGTTTTATCTTATAAATAGCATTTCTTTTCAGTTTTAAAATATGTATCTTGCCTTTTTATGAGCACGATCGATGAATAGCAGACCATGGAAAGCAATGTTGGCTAAAAATACCTCTACCATTACACTACTTCTTTATAACGTGATGTTGAAACAACTGCAAACTGTAAATGTCCTCTTCAAGTGCAGTCCTGGTAGGACGAGAGGAAGCAATCAGCAACTTTTTAAACCCTTCAGGGGCATTGTGGAACATGTGTCTCAGGGAAGACACTTTGTGTATAAAGTTAATATAATTTAGATACGTATGGTTGCTGCAGCCTGGTCTTTACTTCTTTAGGTAAAGATATACCACAGGTGCTTCTTTTTTGTTTAGCTGAGAAGTAACACTGACTTCCTGATCATTTCCTTTCTGTCGAGGGAGCTGACTTGTTTGGTAATTGTGTGTGTGTGTGTGTGTGTGTGTGTGTGTGTGTGAGAGAGAGGGTGTATATCATTTGAGTCCCCACCACCACTAACACCACAGACCCGCTGCTCCAGTGATTGATTTCCTTTGAAAACATTCTTCTGGTAATACATACTGTTCTGCTACAACGGGGTATTTCCTGTCACATTGGTTAACAATTTTTAATTGTTATATTTCAGAGATTACGTTGTCTGACATCGCAAGGCTTCCTTGAGTTACCTGCTGAGGTAGGATTCCAGTGGCACAAGAATTGTGCCAATTGCAGGCCTCATTTTTTTACAGGAGGCTTATCTGTGTTTCCCTGTCTCTATTATGAGCTGTACAAATAATCATGCAAACTTTGAATTTTCACAGAAACTATATCTCTGCTTTTCTCTTGTACACACATACTAGAATGCATGGAAACATAGCTGTCCTCACAAACAAATAGTGTTGTTATTATGAATTCTGTATTTCGTTATCAAGCAGGACAACAGAACTGAAACTACTTGGCTTAAACTGTATGATATTATCTCGTACTATAAATAGTTCTGGTCGTATTAACTCCCCATATGTTTTTTGTCATGTTCCACTGTGTGCAAGTCTCACTTGACCTAAGAAATAAGAGCGTGGGAGTGTTTTCCTCTTAAGAGGAATTCTGTCAACCCCGTAACGCCTTCATGGACATGATTATTCCTCTCTCTAATAACACTGCCTGGGTCTGTAAAACGTACTGTGAGGCTCCTGCAGGAGGGAACTTCAGTAGGACTTGTGTGCCACATATATGGAGCTTTGTTTTGAGCTCTTTTTCAGCTGCTGAACATTTCTGATGATGTATTTTCTGTAGTACAGTTCCATGTCCTTCCCTCCCTCCCACTGTCTCTCTACCCCAGAGGGAGGAAAGGTGTCTCTTTCCATACTGTGTCTGTCTAAGGCACCGAAACATTCATCACCATGTTTAATGGTTTCAGGTTTCAGTCGCATCGACACGTGAAAATAATATCAAGTTATCTGTGAGCTTGCGTATGTTGTCGTCTCGTTGTTATGGTGCATCACAAAACCCGAGAAAAACTTAGGATGATGTTTCCTCACTACCAGTTATCATTAACGTTCCTGTTATGTTCTATAGATCACACCATCAGGCCCGTCTTGTGCCATGGATGCTACAGTTAAACCATTTGAGTTGAAATGTAAGCGTGTTGAACATATTTACAATGGCTTTTCGGTTGTATGAATTGATCAAATCCTTTTTTTGCACTCCCCTGCACCTATAAAAAGACATCTGTCTCTCGTTAGGACACCAAAGCCTGGTTCAATTGTCTCACTCGTGCTAAACTTAGATTTTTATTTCTTTAATTTGAGTAAAACATGGAAGGGAGATGACAGATTGATGTACCTGACCCAAATGCCTTGACCACACAATGTTCAAATCCAACCGCCCACCCTGTTTCCTTCATTCTCTCTTTCTTTTGTGCCCCTCCAACCCCAGCACACAGAAACACGCCTCTCTGTTGCTTTCCTGAATGCAGTGTTGGACAATGGCCAGTTCACTTGTGGCAGGAAGACTTGAATGAAATGAAATATGACTGGTGAATGTGCAGAGTTCAAGTAAAAGTACACATCTGGGCATACACTTATGCCAAATAAACAGAGTGCCCTCTGGTCATGTTTATGGAAAGCACACACAGTAAAAGGCACCTCAGATTGTTCTTGGACTTTTTCTTTGAAAACCTATTAAAAACATGCTTCCCTTTGTGTTATCATATCTAAGATATTTGCACTACTTTTCTCTTAATCTATGATGATGATACATGTTTGACCATATGGACACTGAGAAACAGTCACAGAAAAAGAGAGTAACATATACTCCAGAGAGACAAAATAATCCTCACCCCACGTTAACGCCCATAAGCATAGACAGCGATGCTCTTCAACAAATGAACGTGTTATTTTCTCCCTCTCTCTCTTCTTCTGTAGTGGATGTGATCACCAGCAATCAGGTTTCATTAGCCATACATGGGGAGCAGCCCATGGACCTAAGTGTGACCCAGAGGTTGTTACATCCAGGCCTAGATTCGGCCATGCTGGCCCCCCGCCCTCCCTTCTTCCTCGGACCCCTGACCTCTCAGCATTGCTCTCAGTTTTCCCAGCAGCACTTGCAGGTAAGGACTAAACCAGTATAGGTGAAAGGGTTGACAAAGAAAACCTATCAGCAGCACCAAGCAAAACCATGCAGCAGTGTAAATAATAATTTAAATAATCAAAGTAAGCACCTTAATATTTCTGTATCCTCAGCGTTCATAAACATAAACAGAGACTTAATATAGCTTGTGACATTTTGACCTGCTCAAGTCGTGCGACATCTGGCAACATTCATCCCCGCACCAGCATTTTATTTGGATAACGGTTGAGATGCAGAGTGAAAGGCAGATGGACCTCCTGTTACATCAACAACAAGAACAAGCCATGCTGCTTTCGCCACTAGTCTTTACACAGGTTGATGAACGCTCAGCAGAAGTGAGTAAGCAGCAGGTCAAGTTACTTTAAACAGGCAACCCCCCCAGCATTAGATTCTGATCGAAGCTGTTCAGCATCAGCTGCTTGGTGCTGCACTTCTAGTGCTTTAGTGTAACATAAAGAGGGATTATTCAGTCATGTCAAAACTTTTTTTTTTGAGGGGGAGTTGTGTGAGAAAATGTGGCAGTAGCTATGTTTGTCGCTTTTTTGTGCAAATCTCACGTGCACAGCCCAAGCAGACTAGACTGATCAGTGTTGATATGGCTTCATTTATTTTCTTCTCCTCAGTACAACATTGAACAAAGGCAAAGAGAGATGGAGCAGGAGAAAAGAGAAGAGCTACATCAGCTCATACGAAAGAGTAAAAATGAGCAGAGTGAGTATCGTACGATGTATTTCACCCTACTGCGACGTGCTCTCTTAGGTTCTCTGAATTTGGCTGTTGAAGTGCTCTTCGTATGAGTCATAGCACACTGTATGGTTCAATAAAAGAAGGGGATTTCCTACAGGGCTGTCATGTATTCTCAGATTCCAAGGAAATTTGTACTCATATCAAACCAAAGGCAAACAAACGCACTTGTTTCAGGAAACACTTTAGTTTCTGTTTTCAGTTTTTACCGTACAGAGGAAAAAAAGAAAGGTCAGAGGAAAGTAAAACATATCCTGGATTCTACTTCAGAAGTCTCCTGACTTCTTTTGTCTTTATTTTACTGTTTGGCTGTAGGTCTACCTATTGTATGGCTGTCTTTTTCCTGATGAAGTGACTTTATTAACTGCTAGGTGCCGTAGCCAGTCCTCTGGTAAGGCAGAAACTTCGGGAACACATAATTATGAAGAGCCAGCCTGCCCATGACAGGGTCACTCCCAACCACAGCAGTCCCACACCAGGATACAGGTGAGCGAGATAAAACGGACACGCACATCAATGATGATGTCTCAAAATAGAAGGCCAGCCTCTCTTCTGGCATTAATGAAAGTAAAAGAATAATAAATAATAAACAAGAATATTTAAAGAACTCGTTATACCCATTCATGAGTGAAGCAGTCTATCCTGTATTATTTTGGATACCTAGGCTCCCGGTTCCTGACTTGTCCGCAACGTCTCAGCCTACAGCGTGTGACCAGCGCAAAGACCTTGCTCTGCGCAGGACAGGTGAGATGACTGTTTTTTTTTTTGTGTCTGTGATGAGAGTTCCCACCCTGAGGTTAGAGCCGTGAAGGTCGCCGGTGTTTTTCCGCTTCAGGTCTGTTCTGTTGCGGTGTGTGCTCCGTGTGATTTCAGTTCAAACTCAGAGTGATTTGACTGCGATGCTCGCTGGGATGTTTCGTTCATGGCAATACCTTTCAGTGTCTCGGCAAACTGTCATTACATTATATATCCTGGACTAGAGGGCCTGGAGGGCCAGAGAGAGGCCGAGCGGTCGTAAAAACAACAGTGAGACACAAAGACCAACTCAGTTACATAACTTTAAAGAAGGTATTTGTAAAATGAACCGCGTAGAGTCTAGAGCCTGTCTCGCTCACCATGTGAATGAGAGTGGGCGTGGTTTCGTCTGCCTGTACATCTCTGCAAGTACACAAACATTATTTATTTGCGTTGCCCTAGAACCCTTAGGTACCAGCACACACACACACACACTTTTCTTTTGGCACGGCGACAACACAAAGCTGCCTTTTATCTGCTCTGAGCCAGCCACTGATTGATTGTTTTGTTTGGGCTCCTTGGAGCCTGACCAATGTAAACATTAGACTTTTTATGCTGTTGACCAGGGTTGAGGTATTTGCTTGGTTCAGCTGTGTTGCGGATTTGCTCTTGGTATGGAAATTGAGTGCATCCTCACAGTATTTGCATTATTGGGTGGGAACAGTCTTGCTGATGTAGAAGATGTATGACATCAGTCAGTTTATCATTAAGTTGTGTGAGTTTGAAAGCCATAGATATCTTTCCTTTTTATGAGACTTTTGGGATACGTATGTGTGTGTGTGTGTGTGTGTGTGTGTGTGTGTGTGTGTGTGTGTGTTCTTCTTCATGTATGTATTTGTGTCTGCAGTCTCTGAGCCCACTCTGAAGTGGAAGTTAAAGAAGCTCATCAGTACCAGGCCAAACCCGCTGCAGCGTAAGATCAGCGCCCCTCCCTCAGTCAAGCACAGGACAGAAACTCAGGGTATCTACATTGAGCTGAAACACTCTCACCATCTTCTGTTTTATTTCCATTGCTCTTTTAGCTATTTCAAGTTAATACTGCTTTGATATTTGTATCTGTTACTTTGTTACATGTTATTTCAATACATGCTGTACTGACACAAGTGTGATTCATTTCCTATTTGACATGTGCGTCATTTGGTGCTGTATGAACATGTTTTCTGATAGTGTTGGCCTTTATGAGCTGATGGGTGTGTGTTTCAATTCTTTCACCCAGACTCCTCCCCGAGCAGCAGCAGCACCCCAGCATCAGAGTGCAGCTCACCCAACGACAGCCTCCATTCGGATAATGGGCACCTGCCAGTGGCACATGAGGTGAGCCCCTCTTTCATATTTACATTGATTAGGGATCAGTGTCCTGTTCAATACAAGTGTTCAACCTTCATGCACCTTCATATTGTCTTCCCATTGTGGATTCATTCATAAACTATTTCATTGAAAAACCCTTTACTTCCTTTTTTTTTTAGCATTACAAACATGATTTTACATCTGCTCTTTAAAGGACAACCACCAACAGTTGAATGTTAATTAGGTGTTAAATGCAATAAAGTAATGGTGCTCAATGCCATAAACAGTGAGATTTGAGAAGGCCAGTTGGCCCATTGTACAAATGCATGTTGCTTGATTACTCCTCATTCAATTAAACATTGAGATAGAGTGGGTCCATCGGTTTTTAACACACAAGTCTTGTATGATAAATGTTTTAATATAATGAGTGAATGTTGATATAGGGCACTAGGAAGACAAGTCAAATTAACTTTATCCTGCAAATATTAGTTTTGATGTTTTTGTGTTGGATGATGGTGATAATTTGCAACCAGTGATCTGTACAGATACTCTCTATACTCATTATTTGTGTCTCACTCAGGCACAGAGGTTGCTGGCTCATTTCAACTCACCTCCCAACCGCACTGCAATGCCCAACATCACTGCTGGACTTCCTGCTCAGGTGAGCAACAATACCTTCTGGGATTCCCTTTATCTTTGAAAAAAAGATTACAGATCACACGGATACACATCTGTGTATGTCTATGAATTTATGTGTATCTAAGACTGAATGTCTAGAATAGTGCCTGCACACTTGAACACTTATAGAAACATGTGGTGTATTTAGGCTTTCACTTCCCTTTTGATCTCTGTGGTGCCTTCATATCTTGTGAATCAGTCATGTGGTAGTTTATTCACTTGATGAAAATATTAACATGTTTGTAGATTGAGCTTCTATCTCTACATTGCGAACAGCCCATGAAGCCCTTACCTCATGCACAAACCCTCCATTTTGCTCATTTGCGTTAAGCTGCAACAATGACGAGGGCTTCCATAATTCCCATCGTCTCTCCTCTCCTCGCCTCTCTTCACAGGCTGACCTCCGAGTAGCCAGGCCGTTAGCAGTATCTGCTCTGCATCAGGTCTACCTGCCTCTGGATGGAAGCAGTCAAGCCCTGACTCAGCGCCTGCAGCCTGTGCTCATACTGGAACCACACACCGGACTGGTGCCTTCCCAGCTTGTCTCTCGTGAGTTGGGTGACTGTGAATGCGTTGTACAGCAGAAACTGAAACACTTCAACATGCATATCAACAGAAGACATGCACAACACAATACAATACGGTGTGTCTACATGCCACCTTCATTTGACGATCTGAACTCTCTGCAGTCATTGGATAGTGGGATTTGTTAGGCTCGACACAGGTAGCTGGATGGTTCTCCTACCTTTTCGTCAACCAAATTGACAGTCTGCATACCAACGATTTATGTCCCTTTGGGGTCATTTTAAAAGGAAATCTACCATGAACGATGACCTTTTTGGAGGCCATCAAGGCATCTTACATAACCCTTATGAGGAGCTGGCACCACTAGAAGAGGGATGGGAAGCCATTCACAAAAATCTGGAAAGATCGGAATTTGCTCTGTTTGAAGCTGTGTCACTGAATGATGTCCTGCTTCTATGACCCAATCTCAGCAGCAGTCTTCTGGGTGTCCTCATCTGGTTTAGGGAGGAACCTGTCGCTGTGACTGCTGATATTTGGCAACTGTTTTATTGCTTCTTTGTTCTTCAAGAAACCAGGGATGCACTGCATTTAGTTAAATCGGCTAAACGTTCCTCGCTGATACACTTCAAGATTTAAAAGGCAGCAAACATTGGGCTGTGTTTCTTTTCCCGATCAATTCAGGCAATTTCTGCTCTTGTGCAAAGCCGAACTAGCATCTTTGTCACATTGCTGTAGGGACTATCTCTGCAAGTGGTTCATGAATAGAGGGTGCAAAGAGAACAATCACCAGCCTTATCTATAGATGTGTGATATGTAGGAAACTGCATGGCAAGGTATTATTGTTGGAAGAGAGTACAAGTGTAAACAGACACATCCCGGCCATGGTGGCACAGAGAACATTTGAGTACTCTTCAAAGCAGACAGAACTTAAATATGCTAGGATGGTTTAGTAAGGACAGGTGACATCCCACCAACCCTACTTACCTCAGACCTGTTTCCTGACGTCAAACGTAGTCTTAGGTACACAGGAACTGGTGGGGAGTGGTCAGTGGTGGAACCTTAACATAAAAGATTAAGGGACTATAGTGAAGTGTAAAAGCCTTTGTTTTGTTGCCTATAATCAGGAAGTTATGCAATTCATGCAGGAAGTTTTTCACTTTTTCCCCCGTTGCACATGTTTTATGTTTGGGCAATCTACAGCCATCCTTCTTCAGTTCTATATAGACTTTAGAAAGCTTAATGTCTTCTGTTATGTGCTACATTTCTTATGCCCTGAATATTGTAATATAAATAGCACAAGGACGCCCTCTACTTAGCACTTGACGGGGATGCAGTTTCACAAAGAATACAGAAATATGCTGTAAATTCCAACAACATGACCACGAAGGCGTATTTTCTTTTGCATCATTATTTTGAGCATGAAATACAGCTATGTTGTATTTCACTCACATCAGACATGAATAATTGATCTAGAGTATCATAATTCCACGATTATACCAGCTGTCTGTGCTTTTCTTCTCGCTATCCCTCTTTTATTTCCCTTATATTCGAACATTCTCTTTTCCATTTGAATTTCTTCCTAATCATTTTGGGATCTGTTTTTTCCTGCTCATTTTTGCCAGGTTTATCTCCATTGTGCTTGTTTTTTTTTTCTCCTTCACATGTACCCTTACCCTTCTGCCCCCATCTTTATATGCCATCTTTTAACCTGTTCCTCCCTCTCCCCCTCTCTGCAGTTCATGGTTTGAGCTCCATTCCTCTGCAGCAGCAGCAGCTTCACCTGTCCTCCTCCACCAGAAGGGAAGGCGTGGTTACCTTGCACTCCCACAGACCTCTGGAGCGAACACGCTCAGAGCCTCCACCCTACAGCCACTCACCCCTTACTCTGTATGCCAGCGGTCACTCACACATCCAGCACCAGCTGACCCAGCAATACCACAAGAGCGGGCTGGAGAGGTTCAAGCACAATGCACAACTGTGCAAGGTAAGAGGGGGGCAGGCGTGGACACAAGCATGTTGTATACAAATGAAAGAAATGATATTGACAGTGGTAGATATTTTTGAGGTTTATTCTCTGGAGTCTTTGTTTGGACATGTGCTTGGATTCCCCTTCATTTTCTTTTTTACATACATCCTTTGTGATTTTCAGTTGTATACAAATGCCTGTTAAAGAGAGCTTAAACTACCTTAAAGGCACAAAGAGTAAGATTTTCCAAAATAATCATACAAAAGTAATCCCTCTCAACCATCACTTATGACCCACTAGAAGTTTAGGCGATGTCTGTACCTGTGGAGACCCTGCTCTGTGCCTGTATTTTCCATTTTATTATTTATTTTGCTGCGTCATCAACCTCTATAAAAACGTAGTGTCCAGGCCAGATTGCAAGCGCGCGTCCAAAACAAAACTAAGAAAATGGCGGACACAGTTCCAAAAAACGCAGACAAAGCTAAAACTGCAATCAGACGATCTTGCTCTAACACAAGTGTGAATCTGGAGTGGGCTTTCACCAACTAACTCTCCAACCTACTCATTGTGCATTTAGGACTTTAACACTGTAAAACCTATACCTTATAGCTGACAAGCAAGTCCATTAAAGGCCTTGTCTGACACAGATCCCATTGGAGGACATGGACCTGGAGGAGAATGGATCAGAATCAGGGTCAGGGCCTGGGTCCGTGTGCGATTCAGAACCAGGCTCTATGTGTGAGGATGGCTACCGCAGGAGACAGAGCACTGCCAGCACAGACTCAGTTTATGGCACAGAATCCACTACCTCCTCACGGGACAGCTTGATCGAGGCCTCACATTCACTTAGTCAGGTACTGATATTAACTCATATCTGCACACACATGCAGAGTTTCCAGGGGGATGATGTATTACTTTTCCTTAAAATAAAAGCTTTAAACATTTTGGACATCAGAGGGCGCTGTAGCTTTATTTATACAGGATGAAAAGAGGGAGGGCTACAGTATTGTGGAAGCATGCTTGGCAATGATGTATTTTCTTTATCAGATGCTTATTCTAGACAAGCAGTATTAAATTGACCAAATAATGAGTAATTGCAATGTACTGGAGATAGGCATTTGACTCATGAGTGTGTGGACATTTACTCCAGTTAGTCTTTGCCATGTTTTGCTGCTGTTAACTGCTCCTTCATTCCCTGTTCTTCTTTTCATCCACTGTCCTGGGAACCACAGAGGCAGGTGAACCTTCGATCAGGTCTCCAGCTGGACCCCCTTGCTGTGCCTGCCCTAATTTGGCCTCATCAGCCTCTGTTTCGGACCCAGTCTTCCCCAGCCTCCACTTCCCTGCCTCCTCCTCCACATCCACCCACAACCATACCTTCCCTGTCACTGTCCAGCACCGCAGCAGATGTCCAGCTACGCTTCACCACAGGTGAGGGTTGTGTTTTTGATCAGGAAAATGTGAAAAGAAGCCATGAATTACAATTCATGTACAATTGGATGATAAAATACTGAGGAAGGGAAACAAAGTTCTAGATGTATGTTTGCGTGTGGGTGTGTGTGTGTGTGTGTATCTAGGACTGGTTTATGATGCTCAGATGCAGAAGCACCAGTGTACCTGTGGGGACAACAGCCGCCACCCTGAGCATGCTGGGAGGGTCCAGAGCATCTGGTCCAGACTGCATGAAAGAGGTCTCAGGAGCCAGTGTGAGGTATGACACACACACACGCACTACACATCCTGTTAGATCCATAACCTCAGAGTCAGTATTATATGCAGTTGTGTCTGTGTTTGTGTGTGTGTGTGTGTGTGTGTGTGGGTGTGTATGCAGCGTATCCGCAGCAGGAAGGCCACTCTAGAAGAGCTGCAGTCAGTCCATTCAGAGAAACATGTGCTTCTGTTCGGAACAAACCCACTCAACCGCCTCAAGCTGGACAACCGCAAGCTGGCTGGTAATATCAATAACAATAATGAAAAAAATCATAATTAAACTCAAATTATGATAATAATAATAATATTAACATCCATGATAATTGAATGACAGAAATAATCTTCTTCAGGAATCTTATCTCAACGGATTTTTGTGATGTTACCATGTGGAGGAGTTGGGGTTAGTGACACACACACACACACATGCATGCACATCGTAGACCCCTTTAAAGCACAAGTCAAGTGGGAATCTTTCCACTTATCTAATTGCATACAGCAAACATTACATGGTTGATTATGCCTCATTACACAATTAAAGTAATAATACTACAAATTGCTAATGCTATTGTTTTTGGCTAAGACAACTTTAAAACCCAGTCAGAATTCAAAGGCTGTACAAAGGTGAGAAGTGGAAGAGAAAGAGAGAGGAAGAAGGGAAGAAAGAAGGACCACATAGAGTCTGTTGCTTGGAGGGGTGCGTGCCAGTAAAACCGGATTTTATTTAGAGGGAATGGATGTGGGGAAATGGAATGAAAAACAAGATCAGTCAATGGACCATGAGAGAAGAAACAATGAAGAGGATATAAAAGGACCAAAAGATGTTTTGTCTTCTGATGTAGCAAAACACAGATGCAAATGCGCATGAGAAACTGTTGTGAAGCACAATAACAAGAGAGGAGGCAGATAAGAGAGGAGGAGAGGAGAGGGGAGGAGAGGAGGTAGGAAAAGAAGAAGGGGGCTGGGTGTTAGTTGATAAGGCGACTGATCTGCCTGGATTTCCGGACCTTGGTGCTCTCTGGTGAAGAGGGGTGATTGGAACAAGATGGCAAAGTCTGTGATAAAAGAAATTCCTCTGATTTCATTGTTCCACCGCGGCACACCACCAATGTGAGTTTTCAAACATGGAGTAATGTTGAAACAGAAGACGGGGTTTATAGAAAGAATAGCTGCAACAGCGAGAAAGTGGATGCGACAAAAAATCTCTCAGCAATTGTTAGCATCCACAGAAGTTTAAGGTCAACCGTCACCAATACACTACAAGGATACACTATAAAAATAATTATTCATGTTGTTTATTATTTCAAAATAAAGGAAGTGCTGTCAAAAGTGAACTTCAGTTCGTTAGATCATCATAGACAGAACTGTCAACTGGATTAAATGAAATGTGTTAAACCTGCTGACTGTCGATCTCCAGTAAGACCGTCAGGTAAAATTCTGCACACTGGTCTGACTAGATTCCAGTAAATCTGAAACTAGTTGTTAAAAAAATAAGATTTTTGATTAGGCTTTTATGATTGCATCTTCAATTAACAACGGTGGCTGACCTTTGAACTAACTTTATGTGTCTCATCATTTTTGTACTGACAGGTAGACATTGATACCATCTGGAATGAACTTCACACGTCAGTAGCTTCCCGTATTGCTGCAGGATGCGTCACAGACCTGGCACTGAAGGTGGCACAAGGAGAGCTGAAGGTGTGTCTGTGTTACCAAATTCCCTCATCAGCAAGTCCTATGTCTGTTCTCAGGAATTTCAGAGCTGCTGTGTAACAGGCTGGGAAACAAACAACCATTATAAATAGTACAGTGTGGCTTTAGTAAATCCTCTCCTGTAGATAGCTGCTGTCTGCAATGAACAGAGCTTAAAGATGTGAACTGTGATGGTTGCCCCCTGAAAGCAGAAAGGTGTTAGTTTTCGCTTTCTTCTCACAGAATGGCTTTGCAGTGGTGAGGCCTCCTGGACACCATGCAAACCACTCCTCCCCTCTGTAAGTACAGCAGCACACACACACACACACACACACACACACACACACACACACACACACACACAGGAGGTCTCTACAAAGTGTTTCAAAGGATTTATTACAGATCAGCTACATTTCTGAGCAAGAAAGAAAGAGAGAGAGAGAGAGCGTATGTCTCTCTATCTTAATGTGCGTGTGCGTGTGTGTGTGTGCTACCTGACTGATGCCCGAGGCATTCTACCTCCTCCACTCAGTTTCTTTTAAACTTTCAAGACACAGAGCAAAGCCCCTCAAAAGAAACTGTGCATGTGTGTGACTGCACAGGATGTGTATGTATTCGTGTGCGTGGCTATGTGTCATTCTTTGATAGGAGACATGAGCCAAGTAACCACATTCAGCTGGGACTGTGTGTGTGCTCAGCAGTGCGTGTCACTGGTTATTTATGGGATGATCATGACTTTTCTTGATGAGCAGATATCCACATCATTTATGATATACCTTCCACACACACACACACACACACACAAAGGCACTCACAATTTACGACCCATGCTGACACTGCCACTTCCAACATTCCTCCATTGTTTTTTCAGACATCAACACTTTTTTTTGCATATCTTCAATGTAGACAGTACTGTTTAAAGGACCTGCTGCGCCAAGTTCTGGGTTAATTTCTCTGAAATCATCTCACACGTATTTCCAGCAATTCACGCTGTTATCATTTGGAATGTTGAGTAAATTTTATGATATGCTTGGTTTTCCGTTTGTCACAAAATGTGTGGGTTCTGCATTTCTCAGTGGTACAAGATTTTAGACTCAGCATAATATATCAGCATGATATGAAAAGCCATTATTGTTTGTCAGCAGTGGAATGTGAAATACAAAACAACTTGAATTGAAACACCCTCGTTTCTCCAATATTTGCAGTAAATGTTTGCCTGGCTTGCACATTAGAGTCAGTGCTGTGATTGTCACAACCTGCACTGAATAGCCACCACATGATGCCACATAACTGGAGACGAGGTTCCTAAGGTCCATATGGTGATTCTGTGATATTAATTTGCTGAAGATGTCCTGATTAAAACATGTGGCCGCCTCTCTTCCTGTCTGTTCCTCCACAGGGGCTTCTGCTTCTTCAACTCTGTGGCCATCGCTGCCAAGCAGCTTCAACACAAACACAACGTCAGCAAGATCCTCATCGTGGACTGGGTGAGGATCCACCGCATGACCAGCATCTTCTGGTCCCCACATGGACAGGAGATGAAAACACATGCACTGGCACACAAATGGTATCGCGGACACACACGAGGTCTCAGAAGCAGAGCAGCCCTCTACAGTAGCGCTTCTATTTATCATTTATTTAATTTAGGCACCGTTATCTCTGGTCTCCATGTGAGATCTGAACTGCCAAGCACTGTATGCTTACAGTAGCCAGCCATAGAGTCACACACAGTTTTATGCACACACATTCACAAACACACACATGTGCAGATATTGATCCGCAGCAAGGCGGTCGTCTGTTCGCCATGTGTGTGTATATAAGCCTGTACCATGTCTTTACACACACCGTGCTCTCTGACATATTGCTGCGTCAAACATTGATTACTACCTGCTTCGTCAGAAAGTTTTAAGATTTTTTTAACACGTATGCCGTTGACAGGGAAAAGCTTTGCAAGTTTTACAGTCCCTGCTGGTTTGTGTGTGCTTCATAACGAGAGAAAAAGTCAATGAAGTTCTCTTTTGTGATTGTTCGGATGGTTTTGAACAAATATGTGAATCCATCATGGTTTTAATTATGTGTATATGTCTGATTTGGTTCCACGGCAACTTCCTAACCTGTCATCCAATCACTGTCCAGGATGTTCACCATGGAAACGGCACCCAGGGAGCCTTCTACAATGACCCGAGCGTGTTGTACATCTCTCTGCATCGCTACGATGACGGCAACTTCTTTCCTGGTAGTGGACATCCCAGTGAGGTCGGTCGCCTTCCCAGGCAGTGATGTGTTTTTCTGCTTTGTTTCTGTTGTCATAGTAATGTCTGATTGTTTGTGAGTGTTTATGTGTACCTAGATTATCTTTAACAGAACAACACACAAGAAACATTTATACTTACAACACAGGTTCTCTTTGTAGAGATGATCCGAGTAGATTATTGTACTTTGACTCCTAAAAACACATAATTCATCATAATACCACCTATGTGATTTCAGTGGCACATTAGGGAGCTCAAGAGCCTTGTGTTGAGCATATACTTGTCAAAACAAGAACAATGATTGTAACAATACATCCCTTCATAATATACATGATTTTAAAGCCTCAATTATAAGAGAGCATCTGTAATATTATTAAATAGCTCATATTAGCTTGTTTAATTTGTCCACTGTCAACTTTTTGACTTGTTCAACATGAAATGTCCAAATGCTGTAAATATGTTTATCCAGTGAACTCGCCGTGAGCCCATCATACTTTGATTTTGTGTATCTGCTGTAGGTTTATTTTCCTAGTTCTAGTTTATTGAAGACACTTCAGGGCTTTGGATGTAAGAACTTCACAACAGGATGTGTACAGTCGAATTGCATGCCTATGTTTGCATAGAGGAAATTGAGATGCCTATGAATTCTGCCTGCGGTGTTACCAGAAACCAAGTGTGATGACTATCCCAGTCAGATGAACTGACCCCAACCCACGGTGGCATTCACAACCCATTCAATCCCCCACATCCCCTCCTCTTACTCTCCCATCGTCTCCCACAATAATGAGGATGAAATAGTCAATGTTTTCCCATGAAGTCCCCCGATGAGGGACGCTACATAAAACGCTCTGCTGGCTTGGATGTGGCTTCGCCTTAAGTGGCCCCTCAACCTCTGTTGAGCTGTGTGGTAAACTTCTGGAGTCTTGCTGTCCCCCGTGTAGGTATATAACACACCATGGGGTAAGAGTGTGATGTCATAGCCATAACAGAGAGTGCCGAGTACCACACAGAAAACCAGCGACGGCCTAATCCAGTCCAGGAACCCTTGAAACATGAAAGAGAGAAAAAGGACAGAGAGGAGTGCAAGAGACTTGGAGCAATAGCAGGAAGTGTGTGTGTGTGTGTGTGTGTGTGTGTGTGTGTGTGTGTGTGTGTGTGTGTGTGTATGCAGCTATGTGTGTGTTTCTCTGTGCACATGCACGTGCATGTGGGTACATTACCAGTTGGCAAAGGACAGGAGGCCTCATGTGTTTTTAGTTTTCCCTGTGAACATCCCGTCCACTGAGAGAAGAATGGAGACAGACGCTCTGCGATGCTCATAAGCATTCTTTCAAACATCCTCTCACACCCATACACACACACACACACACAAAGGAAATTACCATGCCTTGTTGCCAAGAGTATGTCAATCACCCTCTTCATTCTGCCCTCAAACTGACACATTGACTGATAGTGAAGGGCTTTGAGAACAGCTAAATGGCTGCTAGCAGGACTACAAAGAAAAAGGCAGGAATCTTTAAACTTTCTTTCCAGGACCCGGGCCTCAGTTCACTCTTTGCCCCAAATATGTGAGGTCAACTCTGCCTGGCATTTTGGAAGCACACGTCAATCTTGATACAGAAAATATAATATCCACTGAAATCATTTACAGTACGCCATAAAATATAAATGAGTTGTGTAGAGTAGTTTACTAAGTTTTATTTGGCATGTCATATAAACAAACCTACTAAATGTACATATCCAACAAAACAGAATATGGAGTCATTCCAGTTATATTCAAGTAATATATTGTCAATATATAAATGGAACATTTTACGAGATCATACAGCAATTTACAAATGTGAACTATTTCCCAGTATAGCTATAACTTAAAGCTCGGGAATCATAAACGGGTGTAGCTCGGTTTGATTTATAAGGTCATTTGACAAATTGTATCAAAATCAAAATGGAGCAGCAGGGGTGTCGAATTAATAGCCATCCGTCCCTCATTTGGGAATCATAATCACTCCCTGGTGTTGCCTTAAACAGACTTAGTCACTTTTCCTCGATTGGTGCAATGCAATGTTCTGGAACAGGCGTGCTTATTTTATAAACATTTGACACAAATCTGTCATCGTCTCGCAGTTTCTCAACTTTCACTGGGACTCATTAACTTTCTTGACATTCACAGAGACTCTTTCTGTTTCTTAGTCTCACTCTCTCTCCCCCCCTCTCTCTCTCTCTCTCCCTCCATCCAGGTGGGTGCAGGTGCAGGCGAGGGCTTCAATGTTAACGTAGGATGGACAGGTGGTTTGAACCCTCCCATGGGTGACGCAGAGTACCTGGCTGCATTCAGGTAAAGAATGACCTCAACCTGTCTCTATTAGCCACGTCATATTTATTTCCATACTGTAGTACTCTGCAATTTATTATCTAAAATTAAAGGTCTGTACTGGTGTTTCTGCGTGTTCAAGCCCATTTGCTACAAATTAGATATACTTGCAGACATTATTGACTGTCGATCATTTAGAAAAAGCATAACATAGGATGTCACAAGCTTCAGTTTGTAACACTGCTGTGGTGAGTTACATCACTGTTATGGTTGTTATTCACATCACCTCATGCATGCTTTCAATGAAGTACCATGATGTTGGGAAGCTAGTTAAGCCAATAAAAACACCAGATACAAAATTACAGAATGTCAAGAAAAGCATATTATAATCATGAGGAACAGGATGTTTTTTGTTTATTTTTGACACAAATTAGTGCGTGTGCCAGGAGGGCAAACAAAAACTCAATATTTCCTCATCGTCGTTGCAGCCCACTGGAATGCAACAGCCATGAGACATACTTTTGAGCGTATATTCATGGGACTATACTTTAAAGTTGGATCTCGTTCACTGCTATGGATTACCTGTAGTATCTCAAGCAGGTGTGATATCTGATTCCTGATATCCTCAGATAAATAGTCAGTAATCAATGTCTACACACTTTGTATGATGATATGGTTTCTGCAGTGATATAAGCCACTTTCCTTTGATTGTTTAGCTGAACACAAAGCCGTAAAGCTTGTGTTGGTGAAACTAACCGGCACTCTCCCCACAATTTTCATTTCATTCAAGCTATTTTTTCCTGAATGAATATACTTCTGTCCTGTTATACACTATAACACATTCTGTCAGGAACGCTGGCTTGCCACCAGATGATTAAACATTATGTGAGCTCTATACGGTTCTGTATGCAGCAGACACAGTGGGTGGGCCCTTCGTCAAAGGAAAGATGCTAATGAGCTAAGCCATACTGGTAAAAATCCATAGAGGCAAAAGGCAAGCTCGGAAACACTAAGTCCAGTGTTTACTGGAGCTCTGGATTCTAATTAAGAAACAACTGGTCTCTTCCTGAGCAGGCGTCTGGTTTTGGTATTTTTCATCCAGTTAGGGAAATGGCAAGTGTTTTCATGTGTAAAACTTCCTGAGTTAACCACACTGTAGTACTGCACCGTGTTGTGTGTTACCCAGAGAAACTTTGCCCTGCATCAAAGCTCTGTGGAGAAGGAGTGTTCTGGTGGTCCAGTGGTTTGAGGCTCATACCATATAGCTGTGATGTCCGGGGTGCCTATCCCTCCAAAGACTTTTGTCTCATAGGGAACAAACATAGGGAACAAACCCATATTTACTGTCAGTGTCAACTATCTAATTATGGCAGCAAATTCCACAATAATCGTAAATATGTCATTTGGACTTGGAAAAGCTGCAACAAGATAGTCAAGTTTTTAAGAAGCAAAATACATGAAACAGAACAGAGGATTGTCAGTGGACTTTGTTTGCCACCATTCTGTGGATTAACTAGTGCAAATAAATGCATGCAGACAAAATGTAATGCATCATGAATTCATTTTTATGCAATTAAGTATCTAGTTTCGTCCCCATTTTATAATTCAATTTGGATGTTCCACATTCTGTATGTTTTTCTTCAGGATGGAACAGAAAACTAGCGATTGTTGATGATGTGGGTCTCTGTTTTTCGGGCGTGTGTTAGTGACGGGGGAAATATTGTGGTCGCGAGTGGCGGTGGGACTCTAGTACAATCAAGAGAAAGCTCAGCTGTGTTGAGATTAAGTGGCATGGCATCGTGTGAGTGTATGTGTGGAGGATTACTAAGGCTGGTCAGAATTTAAGGTCAGTTTAATCACCGGTAGCACAGCACACGCACGGAACGTCCAGTTTTAAAGGGAAAGCATCGGTATGTCTATGTTTTGCCCTGTTCATAGCACGTATGTCTGCATGCACATATTACATGTGCATTTCTAGGTGGCTACTGACGAATGACAAACTATGAAAGAGAGGAGAGCAGAAGAGAAGAAGTGGGGGGTGCATTGTTAGGGAATCCAAAGGCGGCGTAATTAGGCCCAATGGATCCCAGATGGCTGGCTGTCAGTGACGTGAGAAGAGGGACGAGCTCCTAATAGGAACCAGACGCACACAAACGCCTTTGAACTGCCGCTGAGAGAGGGAGAGAGAGAGAGAGAGAGAGAGAGAGAGAGAATCAAACGCGGCATGGGCCGTACGGTCTTGCTAAATAACTGGCAGCGGGAGACGAGAGGAAGTAAGGAGGAGAGCGTAGAGGCGAGGAAAGTGGTCTCCCCTGAGTAGAGCATACAATATGTGGGCGTCTCAGTCAAGATATGTCAAGGGTCTTATTTCGATATGCTGGTGTCACTCGCAAAGACAGAAACTTTTTGCATCGTTTGCCACCTGCCTACATTTGCTTTGCTTCAGCCTTTTTAAAAAAAAATCTTTATATGTCTGGTAAAGGTTTGCCGAGCGCTCATGCTTCTTTTTTTTTCAGCAGTGCTCTGCTTCACATTTAAACAGTTGCACACATTCACACCTGGGAGCTACCCCACCTTCTAGTGTTGGCCACTTACCAGGAGTGGATCGAGAACAGAGATCAAGCGTTTGGAACATGGCCTTTGATAATTTATCTTCCATCAATTTCAAATGGATGGATTTTACAATGAAGTAAATGTTTGCAGTTAACGATCCAGGAAAATAAAAAGTATTTTGTTGTAAATTGTTCCAGTCGCAAATCAATCACCTTGGTTTTGCAGTGATTTCAGTTTTTATGTTGTTGTTTTTTTTACTTTACAGGCAACTTAATATTCAGTTTATTACAAAAACAAATCGTATTCATTCTATTACGATGTTAAATCACTCCCTCAGTGACTTCCTCTCTTACTTATTATATTGTATACGCTGTTCCAAGTGTTTTTTCACAAACTATAAACACCTGTTGAAAAGATGATTACTTAAATGTACTATGTAATTCAGCTAGGCCACAGGGCTTGAACGGATGTAACATAAGATGCAGAATTTGGTTACAGCATGTTGTTTCCTCTCTTCCTCCTCAGAGCCGTGGTGATGCCCATTGCCCACGAGTTTTCCCCTGATGTGGTGCTCGTGTCCGCTGGCTTTGATGCTGTCGAGGGACATTTGTCGTCACTGGGAGGCTACAAGGTCACAGCCAAGTGTAAGCCTCAATCATCCCCTCATTCACATTCTCACTAACATACTCTTACACACAGACATGGACAGGGATATCAATCAGTGTTAACGTCACACAAAGTTTGGTCTGAACTTCATCGTACTTACTTATAACATAGACTGTGTATAAGAACTGGATGTTGTCACTGTGACGTCCACTACTGGTTGGCGGACTGCCGTTTGTAAGTTCAACATTTTGGCTTTTTGCAACCAGAAGTGACACAAGCGGGTGGAGCTAAGTACAACCGAACCAGGCGACCACAAAGGTTACAATTTACTTTCATGAACTGAAAACACACTATGAACTCCCAGACAAACTCCCGACCTGTCAATCACAAGGTAGCCACAACCAGACATTAAGACATTAGCATCAGGTGAGAAGCACTGCGTAATGCAGGAGTTTTGAAAAAGAAAAAAAACTTCTTAAAATCTTTTTATTTTTAGATAAAATGTAAATTTGTAAATGATGAGCACTCATCTGAATAGAAGGAAATGGCATGTACGAGGCAGAGAGCACCGCTCTGAACTCATGTGGGTGACACCAAGTTCGTTAAAGTTAATTTTGTGAGTTCGAGGCTGGCATGGGAAATTACATAAACTTTCACCAACACTGAAGGAATCCTTTAATCTCTTTAATCAATATCTGGGGACAACTCCTTGACCACTCATGATCTAATTCAACCTGTGTATGTGCTTGTTTGTATGATCTTCTCTACCAGGTTTTGGTTTCCTGACCCGTCAGCTGATGTCACTGGCAGGGGGTCGGGTGGTAATGGCTCTGGAGGGGGGACATGACCTCAAGGCCATCTGTGATGCCTCTGAAGCCTGCGTAAGCGCCTTGCTGGGCATGGAGGTGAGATGTGTGCGTGTACAGTGTGTGTGTGTGTGTTTCTGTAGAGATATACAGCATGTTCCATCCTCTAACCACTTAATTTGTCATGACCCAGGTGGAGCCCCTGTCCCAGTCCGTGTTGGACCAGAAGCCTTGTGAAAATGCTGTCCAGTCATTGCAGAAAGTCGTCCAGGTCCAAGGTGAGAACTGACACTTGTACTTAGTGCATTAACAAAGAAATCAGCCACATGTTAACATACACATTGGACTTTAAGCCAAGAGAGCAAAACAACGACAATTGTATTAAAAACATTTTTAACAAATGTGTCCATAGTCCTGCGTGTTTCCAGTTTTGCAAAACCTGCCGCTCACCTGCTGCTCAGCATTAGAACCGACCATCTACCAGCAAATTGTCTCTAAATCAATTCCAGACCTGAACCGACCTGACACGTTAATGCTGCACAAGACTCACAACCTGACCAGTAGGCTAATCAAATACGCTCTGAGCTGGCTGCTGAGCAGTATATGCAAAAACTGTAGGGGTGCATAACAAGTAACTAAATACATGTACAAATATTAAAAAAAACATATATATATATATATATATATATATATATATATATATATATATATAATCAAAAACATGTAACATCTGCAGATTGCGCAGGCAGAAATGCCCTACACATTTTCAGTAAATTATTTTCACTGGCATTTGCACCTGAGCAGACCAATCGATGGCACAGACACACACTGACGCCTCAAAGAAAACCATGCGTGATGTTATGCGCATCTGGCACAGCATGGACAACTTCATCAATTATTCAAATCTTCTGACAGGACGCTGGGATTTAACTTCAAATGGACGAGCTGTTACTACGCTAATACACTAGTGAAAACATAGTTATGATTATTATATTCTATATCTGCTAATAGATCCCAAAAATGTTACACACTGGCCCTTTAAGGACATCAATTCGTTTTCTCAGATTGGAGGAGGAGGAACAGAACAGCGGAGTTCAGAAATGATTATTTTGTCAATATTAACTGTACAGTTGAAGAACTACTGCAGCAGCACCATTACATACTACCCCAGCTGCGTGGTCACTGTCAGTGGCGTTTTCTGTGTTGCTCCTCACCTTTCATATTCAAATATGAAAATACTCTTCATAAAATAGATAAATATAAAAGAATTTGCTAATTTTGAGACCCTACAAAATCTGATATTGATGTCTTCAGGGGGGTCCATGGCGTAAATTAGGGGATCATTGACCGCCCATATTTCGCTCATTGGTGCTGATCCTTTATTCTACTAGTAGTTCTACTAGTTTTACAATTATTGGAAACACTTCGAAACAATTGTTTCTAAACCTAATTTTCTGTTTTCCTCTAAAGTTGTTGCCATCTTTCTTTATCTAACCTGCACAATTTCTCCTTCACTCTCGCCTCCATTTTCTGTCTCAGTTGCCTTTAATTTCTCATTGACCCTCTCCAAAGTCAGTCATAACCTGCTTCAGTTTACAAGCCACATGTCACATACACTTTTGAGACGTCACAATAATGACAAAGAGCTCAATAAGAGCAACAGAAGAGGCGTGGTCAAATACACTTACAAATTACAGGAAACATTTCAGGATGTCCAAAGATGTCCTTTTGTTTTGGAGATAAAATGTTCTGCTTTGTAACTTCATTTCTGCTGCGATCATTTTATTTTACATTACAAACATTTTAATTTTGAAAAAAATGATGATTAATTTAATATTTGTCACGTTGTGGGAACATTTTTCTAGTTTTATGATCAGTTCCATCAGTTACAATTAACAGAAAAATAATTCAGTTTATATTTCTACGAGCTGTTCAGTATCTTTTTTCATTCCCATGCTCTATAACGGCGGTCTCTTTATTTCTCCACTTAGCACTCTCCTCCCTTTATCTCCTCATCCCTCTTGCTCTCTGGCCACCTCTCCTCCTTTACATCCCTGTCTCCCATCCCTCCATGCAGCCGTCCCACACACAGACACACACACACACACACAGCCGCCCTGGCTCCAATTATCTTCAAACACTTCTCTGGCACACGACCTTCGCAACATCCCCTCCTGATTGCACACAAATGTTATCCCAACCAAATTAGATTAATTAAAAATATTTGCAAAGCCACAAGAATGTTAAGACTATAATTTAGGCCCAGGGTGAAATATACGCGAGTTGCATGCACAACCAGAACACACACGTGCTCCTAGACGAACACATTTGCAAACACTGATTGATTTTACTTCCACTGTGTGTCACAGGACTCCGGCCCGGAGACCCTGAGAGAACAGATTGAATTGGAGTTTACATTTCTGAAGTTATCAACATGGATATTTAGACCACGGGCTGTTTATATGACAGCCAATAATTATATTCAGATCAAACAGCTACAAATGGCGGATCAAACACCAAGTACTGCTTTTAAATAATGCAGTGCAGGCACTTCACCTCAAGGAACTATGAATGAAAACAACACCAGAATACCAAGAACTGAGGTCATTAATCTTTCACTCTTTCTCCTCCCTTCATCATCTCCCTCTTTTTCATCGTCTTGCATCCTGCAGGTGAGTACTGGCAAAGTGTGAAAGATTCCACAGTGGATCTCTCCTACCTGCAGGCGCAGAGACGGCGGCTGAGACGAGACTCGGACAGCGAGGCCGTCAGCGCCATCGCCTCGCTGTCGATGTGAGCTTTTGCCTCTGACAAGTAGGGACGACGTCTTATTTAATATATTCTGCTTTAGCAACGGTACACAACTTAATCTATCATAAAATCTTTCTACTTCTCTCATTCATTAAGGAAACAGCCAGAAAAACTGACGGAGAAAAGAGTGAGAGTCTCCTGACAGCTGCCTTTAACCAAGTCTCGATGGAAACAAGCACACACACACACACACACACACACACAGCTATGCTTTTGGACCATCACTGGAAGCAGATGTCCTCCTCAGTTCAACCAATGTATTCATCGCCTCATAAAAACTCCTAAGAACTGCAAACCTACTGGCTGCAGTCTGACCACTCTGATTCAAACACACACTGAGAACAACATTCACCTGGGCAAAATTTACACCCTCGTGACGCCTCTACGGGCTTTTCCTGAAGAGGACATCTGTCACTGAAGTGAGAAATAGATGAAAAGAAAGACAACTAGAGGCAGATTATTGAAGCATCTCCATTCCCCCGTAGCAATGGGAGCTGATAACATGGCGTAGTTGGAACACACACTTGACAAAGCACAGCTCTGTGACTTTAAACATTCATCTTGTAAATGACTTCCACAACACCTGCGAGAGACCACGCAGACTGTTGTCACCTTGAAGGCAGGGTCAAAGGTCTCCTGGCATTACGGAGCCAATCACTCAAGAGCGGAAGGAGTCGTCCCTACAGGACGCGCCGAGATATCAACCGCGTCCCACTATGATGATGTCATTTGTCTGAACGTGACAAAGATCCAATGAAGGAACAGATGAGGGGCTTCTGATCGTTTTGCACTGCACCGCTCTGTAATGTGAACTGGACGAGATAGAGGAGACGCAGCCACATCGGCCATGTTGACAATCAAACATCCTGTTTGTTCATGTTTTTAGATTATTTGAATATTCATTCATTTTTGCGAATGTCAGACGATTTTTTTTTGTTGTTGTTTAAGAATCCAGTAAGAGTGAAGCTACAGTGAAGTCTGAGATGCATATGTTTCATATCTTTTTGTAAGTCCACATATTGTCTTAGATAGTCTTATTCTGTTCTTGCAGCAAGACTCTAGTTACAGTATGGGCTCCCCTGCAGATAAAAGAAGACGCTGCCGTCTTTTATGAAGTGCATCTTAGAAGTGTAGACATACTGTAGTTTTTATCGGTGGCAATAGTCACAATGAAGAGCTAATAACTCTCGTCATTGGAGTATCAACATCAGGGGAGAAAGACATTATTTACACATCAGCAAAGACACAAATCACCCATGATGCCTCAGTGCCTCGTGACCACTCAGAAATGATTGTATATGTGACAATGCAAATCACACTTTGGATGAGACCCAATCCAAACCCTTAATGACAGCCCCACACTCAAAGTGCACTTATATTGCCCTCAGGATGGCAGGATCAGAATGACTTGGGTCTTAAAATCTGAACTTTGATAATGTTTGTTAAGTAGACCAGTGTTTCTACCTGTGGATTTACATTCCTGCTGTACTTGTAATTTCTTTGAAACTTGTATTTCTTTCATGATGAGGACAAACCGATGTGTCCTTCGTCCGTCGCTGACGTAGCAACGTTCTGTTTACTGTCGGCGACGGGGATGTTTTGCTCTCCGGACCAAACGACAACATTTTAGCAGTAGGACGGAGCAATAATACTGAGATAGTTGAATATCCACACAGTGCAATTGGACACAGGTTAAGCGCAACCAAAGTTTATGAGAACAATGTGCCATTCCTGGACTGGCATGGCTTAAAGAACTTCAAAGACTTTCAAGAGTTTGTGAATGTTTCTTTTTTTTCTATCCAAACTTTGAACAGCACCAGAAGCACAGGACGGATATATAAACAAATTCATTTCTCCAAAGAAAAATGATTTATACATTCATATTCTGTGTCTTTGAAGTGCTCTTTGCATGTCTAACACAATTATGACGGTGCTATGGATTATACTTTTTTAAGTGCAGTACATTTGCTTTTTTCTTTCTTTCTTTCTTTCTTTATGTTGCATTGTGTACGCAACACGAAACCTGTCAAATATTTGTAGTGAAAATGTGAAAACAAATGACGGTGAGTCTCAGCTCCATATCATGTAGGACAGTCTGAGTGCAGCTTTGCGTCGTCTTATGAGAACATTCGGGACAGTGACCTGACATATCGAATGTCTTATCTTTTGTCTTAATTCATGCAAATGACTTATTTTTGTATTTGATCTAAAAAAAAATTAACCCTGTGCGTACGTAGAGACCAAATTGTCAGCCTGTGTGCCTTAAAGTGGGCAACTGTGGCTAAGTGGAGAGCAGGGCCGTCCTTCAATCAGACGATCGGCGGTTCGATCCCCGGCTCCGCTAGTCGCATGTCGATGTGTCTTTGAGCAAGACACTTAACCCCAAAGATGCTCCCGTAGCTGTGCCTACGGTGTGATAGGATCTGAATTGTAAGTTGCTTTGGATAAAAGTGTCTGCTAAATGGCTGTAATGTAATCGTGCTGACCCGCCTGTGTTAAGGCGACCTGTAAAGGTCGCCTTAACAAACTGGATTCAAACTGCAGGCAAAGTCCAGTATTCTCTGACTTGTTTGTGTACAGTGTACATAATTACTTTGTTTTGTTTTTTTGTCACCTTTTGTCTTAATTACTATTTTTATTCCCCAAAGAAAATCCTTAATAAAGGTAAATTAAATACATTTGAATAAGATCATTTTTGTATTTCTTATGGCATGCTCATTTTAACTTTGTTAATCTTGTACCATTTAATTTGAGCAAATTCACCACAGCTTCCTCTCATATCTGAATTACTACTGAATGCTGACACGTATGGCATTAGTCCTTAAAATATGACACTCATATACAGCATCAAGAAAAGTTTTATTGTCCACAGGAACTGACACATTAAAGATTATCAAAAGCAAATGCAAAACAATACAAAAGAAATATGATCAAACAGTAATTAGACTACTTGAAGGATCAAATGAATCCTCTATATCACGGCTGGAATCACTTTGATAGACTTTACAAGAAACCTTCTGCTTTTATTTGAATTTTTTTGCATTATTCAGTGAAAACGCTCACAGCAAGTTTGCAAAGATTCGTAAAGCGGCAGGAAAAAACATACATCGATCAGATTGTCTTGCATTTTAAAATACAACTCTCTGCAACGCTCACTAACAACAGAAAAGCTGAAGTGAAAAAAACAAATGGAATCGTGGCTGAACTGTAATCAGTGGTTTAAGACATTTTCCCATGGGCATTTTTCATTAAAGCCAAGTGTAATGCATGAGCAGAGTTAAAGTAATACAGTGTGCATACACCAAATTCACAAACATACACTTTAAAAACCTCCAAAAACACAGAAAGCAATCCAGCTTACTACAGCACAACAACGTAGAAGATCTGCATCAGATTCCTCGTGCTCCTCTTTTTCCCACAAGATGGGGCTTTGAGAGCCAGAGCGATTAGCTTATTAGCATTTTGGCTGTAAACATTCATTGGCTGTGACCGCCCTCGAACCATCACTGTGCCATCATCATTAGTCATCATAATGTCTGTCTGGCAGTGAGTCATCCGACGCGTTGAGTCAAATGGATGACGGTTATCACGGTGTTACCCACAAGGCACTCGAACCAGCAGCCATTTTGTTTCATTGTCAACGCAGGCCAGCTGTTTGTATTTTCACTTGTTTTCATCATTAAAAATGTTCAGCACTTGACTGTCATGTCTCCTCACCGGTGTTTCACAAACACAGAACTGTTGGGAGTCAAACTGCAAAAATGCACCTCATGAGTCGAGCCCGTGTCCAGAGAAAGAGAAAAAAAAAGTTTTTTGAGAGATTAAAAAATGGGGGATTATCTGGTTAGGCAGGAACACATTTCTTCTTTGAGTGTAGAGAATTTTCCATTCGTCGGTTTTCTGCAGAGAGGAGAAACACAGCGATGAGCATAAATGTTAAACATTGTATTAGCGTGACACTTTGAAGGTAAGAAGACATTGAATATACTTGTGATTCATTCTGAAGCATATTTTTTCTGCAAAAAACTCCACTGAGAGTCTTTGAGATGTGTGTCGAGGTTATAAAATGTGTGTACAAACAAACAAACACTTCTGTTTAGCGGAAAGTGGAAAAATCCCTACAGCTCCTTCAACTTCTCCTCTTGTGTTTTAACAAGCAAACATTTCTTCTGGAGCGTTCTCAGTTCACCCTAATTACAGTGTACAGTGTGCCTTTCCATGCTTCAAGGAAGACACACAGAGAGAAGAAGAAGTCAGCAAGACAGAGTTGGACGTATGTTTGTGGGTGTCAGGCCGTCACATGACTTTCATTACATAAATGAGTGAATGAATGTTTAAATTGACAGACAAAAGCTTTTCTATCTCATGTAATGTAACAAAGTGCAGGGCGTCCACTAATCTGCTCTTCTCATTTGCTTTTTGTTTACAGAAACGTTACTTTTGAAACTTACATTTATCCGTCTGGTTTTTACAACATTTAAAGTTACATTTTCATGAAATTAAACTCTACGTTTAATACTTGTGGGCGGCATTTTTTCTCCAGTAGCCATTAAATTGATGTACATTCAGTAAGTGCCTCTCTATGTTGTTTTAATTGTTGGTGGGGGAGTGCTACTCTTTTAATGGATTTATATTGCCTAAGCATTAGAGATTCACAGAAAACAATTGTTAAAGAAAAACAATTTAATGATGCTGCTGACATTTTTTTGAGGAGCATTTTTCTTTAATTATTGAAACTTTTAATTTAAATTGCACATAACTTTTTCTGTTTCTGTGAATTGTGCATGTGAATGTTTGACAGCTCATGATGCATTTTGGACCCAAATATTTGCCGTTTTGTTGCCTACGTGTCAAACCAGAAGTCATTCCTCTGGCTCTCTATCCCTGCAGCTGTCTGAGTAGGCCAACACACATACACTAGCACATATGCCTGTAGCAGTCAAATGCACAAACATTAATACACACACACACACACACACAACCCTCCCACCTGCGCTCAGCTCACAGTTTGGCTCGCTAAAAATAAAGATGACTATCAGAAGCCGCAACTTCTGGATGAGACTTTTAAAACGCAGATGAACCGCAGAGGACTATACATCTGGTCCCTGATCAGTCCGAAGTGAAAGCCAGAGATTTAATATGCACAGCAGAGCATCCAACAGCTGGTCGGTCCAAACTATATAACACACACACACACACTCACAGACGCAGCAGAGCCAGTGGTTCCGGCAGAGGAAAAAGCAGTGACAGGCATTTTGATTATAGTATAAACACAAGGGAGAGTATTGTTTTTTGTAACTCAAACAGAACAATTCTCTCATTCTGAAAGACTCATCCTGAGCCAGACACCCACGCGTTCTAAAATCATGCTCATCAAAATATACATAACTCTCCCCTGTGTGTTTATATTCTTGTATTGTATGTGTGTGTGTGTGTGTGTGTGTGTGTGTGTGTGTGTGTGTGTGTGTGTGTGTGTGTTTATGCTACACGCTCAAGGAAAATATAAAGGTTCTCCTACAGTGAAAGTACAAAATATTTAGGATACGTTTTCTGTACAGATGGTGTAAACCAAGGTCGAACAAATAAATGAAAAGTTATTTTCTGAGTAAAAAACTATGTTGGGTGGACAAAATTACAGAAACCTCTTCATCAATTACCTGCAATCTAATACATTGACATAAATTACGGCTTCAAATAACTTCACATGGAACGTTATACACTTGGATATACTGTCAAGTGCTCCAATTATTTTGTCTACCCCCTACATATACCACCTACCAAGCTTTCAGAAAACTAAAAAATAGGCTGCAACTTTTTGGACATTCTGTTTGTATTCACATAATGGAGTGACACTGATATAAATGTCATTTAACTCATGTATGCACAATTTAATTTAAATTACACCAAACACACAGACACATGCATGCGTGGATGCACATGCGTCTGTCTTTGATGTTGCTCGGACGCTTTTCTAACCTCATAATCATTCCGAATCTTAGACATTCAGGTCAGTTTCAGGCCTTGAATTTTTTTGCACTTTTCGCGGCGGCCCCTGCAGAGCTGATGATAACAGGCAGAGCAGGCAAAGTGGTGGGTCATAACTACTGCGCTGTGTTCAAGGACACTCCGCTACCACGTGCAGGGGCCTTGGCATTCCATCCACAGCGCTGAGTGGAGCCCTCGACGTCTGCTGTTGAGGCCACTGGAGGTTTAATAATAAGCAGAGTGGAACACCTGCAGTGTGCACATGGCTGGCGGCTACATGTGTGTGTGTGTGTGTGTGTGTGTGTGTGTGTGTGTGTGTGTGTGTGTGTGTGT